CCTGTAATCCCAGCTACTTGGGAGGCTGAGACAGAGAACTGCTTGAACATGGGAGGTGGAAGATGCAGTGAGCCGAGATCGTGCCACCGCACTCCAGCCTGGGTGACAGAGTGAAACTCCATCTCAAAAAAAAAAAAAAAAGAACCTCTACATTTATAAACACAATAAGCTGACAAGTTGTTTATCCCTTGTTAATATGCTTTATTCTTATTTTTTATTAATTAATTTATTTAGAGACTGAGTCTGGCTCTGTCACCCAGGCTGGAGTGCAGTGGCACGATCGGGGCTCACTGCCACCTCCATCTCCCAGGCTCAAACAATCCTCCCACCTCAGCCTCCCGAATAGCTGGGACTACAGGTGCATGCCACCACACCCAGCTAATTTTTGTATTTTTAGTAGAGACAAGGTTTTCACCATGTTGCCCAGGCTGGTCTTGAACTGCTGACCTCAAGTCATCTGACCACCTTGGCCTCCCAAAGCACTGGGATTAAAGCATGAGCCACTGCTCCCAGCCCGTTGTTAATACACTTTCTATGAGCATTTTTCCCACTTGTTAACCTTAAACTTTTGCACATTGGAAAGTCGACTGAGAGCCCTTCAGCTGGTTTTACTTCTGTGTTTGGCATGTGTGGTTTGTTGACAAGGTGCCCGGAATATGATGAAACACAACCACATTTGGACCTGCCTCCCAGTCAGCAGTGGTTTTCTACATCATTGAGGTTTTTCTTAGAATCCTAAAAGAGGGTAAAAAAGGAAATGTAAAGGAAGGAACCAAATAGATTCTCAGAGGTAAAGATCATAGTTGTGAGGGGCAAAAGGGCTATCGTCAACAAAAAAGTGATGCTTTCAATGTTTCTAAAGAAATATTTGATTAAGAATAAAAAAGTATAACCTACATTCTGCCTTTGTTTTTCATTGTACTTCTGGGTTCTTTGAATATAGGGCTCTTCCAAAAGGCATGAAAGGTAATTACAATAAATTCAGTTAATCTTCATAAAGATGAAGAATCTTAAGTAACTCAGCCTCAACCAGTACTGAGGTAATAAAGGAACAGAAAATAGTAATCAAAATATATTTACGATTCCAGTTTATTTATTTATTTGAGACATGGTCTTGCTCTGTTGCTAGAGTACAGTGGTACAATCATAGCTAACTGAAGCTTTGAACTCCTTGGAGATCCTCCCATCTCAGACTCCTGAGTACCTAGGACCACAGGTGTGTGCCACCACACCCAGCTAACTTTTTTATTTTAAATTTTTTGTAGAGGTGGAGTCTTGCTATGTTGCTCAGGCTGGTCTTGAACTCCTGGCCTCAAGTCATTCTCCTGCCTTAGCCTCTCAAAGCTCTGGAATTACAGGCATGAGTCACCACACCCAGCCAATTCCAGTTTCTTAAGGTGACCAGATGTTCCATGTTATTTGTATCATTCCATTTTTTCAAATGACCTACTCTATGTTCAGAATGTCTTGAAGCTATAGATAAACCACCAAAAAATGCAAATATTTGGCCGGGCGCGGTGGCTCACGCCTGTAATCCCAGCACTTTGGGAGGCAGAGGTGGGTGGATCACCTGAGGTCAGGAGCTCGAGACCAGCCTGACCAACATGGAGAAACCCCATCTCTACTAAAAATACAAAATTATTCGGGTGTGGTGGCTGCCTGTAATCCCAGCTACTAGGGAGGCTGAGGCAGGAGAATCGCTTGAACCCAGGAGGCGGAGGTTGCAGTGAGCCGAGATCGCACCATTGCGCTCCAGCCTGGGCAACAAGAATGAAACTCTGTCTCAAGCCCCTCCTCCATCTCTTGCCCTCCACAGACTTGGTAGAAATATGTTCAGTATAAGTTTCATGCAGTCTAGGTGTTTTAGGTACTCAGGTTATCTCAATGAACCAAACAGACCAAAAAACAAAATGGAGCAAAACAAAATAAAAGAAACCCTGCCCCTGTGGAAGCAGAAAGCATGCCCTGGAGTACAAGATAATATGTAAAGTGAAGTAATTCAGCTGAAGCAGGGACTCACAGAGGTGACTGGAAGGATGACGTTTCAGTGATTCATCTCCAACCCACTTTTCTGCAGTGAAAGACTGGGAGGTTTCTTTCTGCTTTCTGAAAAGAGGTTTCAGTCAACCACATCTGACACTTAAAGGATATGGGTGCATACACTTTGATCAAATGCTTACAGGTGTTAGTAACCTAATTTTTATTTTAATAATCCAGATTTATTTATTTATTTATTTACTTACTTATTTATTTTGAGACAGAGTCTCGCTCTGTCACCCAGGCTGGACTGCAGTGGCACAATCTCGGCTCACTGCAAGCTCGCCCTCTCGGGTTCACGCCATTCTCCTGCCTCAGCCTCCCGAGTAGCTGGGACTACAGGCGCCCGCCACCACACCCAGCTAATTTTTTGTATTTTTAGTAGAGACGGGGTTTCACCGTGTTAGCCAGGATGGTCTCAATCTCTTGACCTTGTGATGCGCCTGCCTTGGCCTCCCAAAGTGCTGGGATTACAGGTGTTAGCCACCGTGCTCAGCCATCCAGATAATTTTTAAGTGATTCCAGATAATAGTAACAATGGATAACATTAACTCTATATGTATACCAGATAAAAAATGTTTCTAGATATTATCTCATTTGATGGTTATAGTGCTCTTGTGACTAAAGTAGGAAAGGTAGCTTTAATAGGCCTTTTTAAAATAAATAATCCTAAGGAATGCTGATTGGATGGGCTAGAAAGGACCAAGCTTGCTCTCGAATGCCCTTTTTTAAGAAGTCCGATGGCCCTTTCATATTCTGTTGATTCCTACTAGGAATAGAAAGGCCTTAGCCTTAGACGTTTCAGTTTCCTTAAGAAAGTATCATACATTAAGTCCTAATTTATTTTGTACAGAAAGTAGCAATTAAGCATAGGAGAGAAATAGGAACATGAATAGTTGGAAAAGCCTACGTGCAAAACCTAGGAGTGGGGCTATATTTTGCATTAAATTATTATTATTATTGTTATTTTTGACACTCAGTTTCACTCTTATCATCCGGGCTGGAGTGCAATGCCACGATCTCTGCTCACTGCAACCTCTGCCTTCCAGGTTCAAGCGATTCTCCTGCCTCAGCCTCCCGAGTAGATGGGATTACAGATGCCCATCACCACGCCCAGCTAATTTTTGTATTATTATTATTTTTTTTAGTAGAGACAGGGCTTCACACGTTGGCCAGGCTGGTCTCGAACCCCTGATCTGAAGTGATCTGTCCGCCTCGGCCTCCCAAAGTGCTGGGATTACAGGCGTGAGCCACCGTGCTGGCCCTTTCCATTAAATTAAAAATCACCATCCTGGCCAACATGGCCAACAAAACCCCACATCTACTAAAACTACAAAAATTAGCTTGGCGTGGTGGCGCTCGCCTGTAGTCCCAACTACTTGGGAGGCTGAGACAGGAGAATCGCTTGAACCCTAGAGGCAGAGGTTGCAGTGAGCCGAGATCACACCACTGCACTCCAGCCTGCCACAGGGCAAGACTCCATCTCAAAAAAAAAAAAAAAAAAAATCAAAGTCCTTACTTTGCATCATAATCCGCTAGGTGCAAAGGTCACAAAAGTGATTAAGAATAGCTCACAATCTAGTGAACTGGAACCTAAAAAAACTGATTAGGGTTTACACTGGCAAGTGCTCAGAAAAAAGGGTAGTTCAGGTAATTGGATCAGAAGAGAAGGCAAAAAGGCATGACGTGTTTTTGAGAATTAGAGGAGCCCTCAAAGTGTATTAGTTTGATATGCAAAATGCTCGATTGAAGATATTGTCTATTAATGTATTTGAAAATTGGGACAAAAATAACTTTTCGGCCGTAATAACTATGCTCCCCTCCCTTTTAGAGTTTGGAATCTGTATCTTAGAGGCCATACTTGAATGTGGAAAAACTGTCTTTGTATTAATGTAACCACTATCCAGTGATAAGACATGGAACAGTGTAATAACCCCTAAGCTCATCTTATAACTGAACAGATAGTTGGCAGGGAACTTGGATTTGAACCATGCCTATGCCACTAGCTGGTTGTGTGACTTTGAGCAAGTCACTTCTCAGGATATCACGTTTGCCATCATTAAGACGAGTGTGATCCAAAGGTCCACCTAGCCAAGTTTTGTGAGAATGATTTGAAATGCCTGTGAAAGCATTTCCTCTAACACGTCTGAGGTGCTTTTGTTATGTCCAGGTTCTTTCTGGTCTTGAAATTTTGTGCATCACGATCCAAAATGTCTTAAGCATCATCACAAATGCTTGACCGTCCCTCATGAGTGGGTGGCGCTCCGCACTGCCTGGGTCTGTACAACAAGGTCTTGCAGTCGAAAGCCACACACTCTCGGAGTGCAAGAGGGAGAGAGAGGTCTGCTTCAGCAGGGAAAAAAAGGGCATGAGACTGGACAGGTCCCGCCACAGGAGCTCTCCTATACTCACGCGCAGTGGTCGCTTCTGCGGGAATGGGCGGCAGTGACGTGCCCACGTCGGGTGCGCTGACGTTCGCGAAGCGTGCGCCGCCGGCCAGGTCCGCAATAGCGGGGTGTGCGTCACGGTCTGCGCCGCCCGCGGAGCCAGGACGGGGCGGAGCTTCCGGCTGTTCTCGGGTGGGCTAGTTTACCCGCGGCGGAGGGTAACTTTCCTGTACAGGTACTTGAGCACTTGTCTGGTCCCTGGAAGTGTAGCATCGAGACAGTTTTCTAGTCCCGTTTACAAAATATCTTCCCTTTGGCCATACAAGTGGTGACTGCCATGTCGAACTCGCGGCTCAGGTCCCGCCGAGACGCCGGGGGTGGCGCTGGGGCAGCCGGCCGGGACGAGCTGGTGTCGCGGTCCTTGCAGAGCGCAGAGCACTGTCTGGGTGTCCAGGACTTCGGCACCGCCTATGCCCACTACCTCCTCGTGCTCAGCCTGGCGCCGGAGCTAAAAGACAACGTGAAGGTGAGGGTCCTTTTTTCTCACTTGCTGGCAGATCCAACGTCCTTGTAAAAAAAAATTGGGGGGGGGAAAAAAAAAGGCGGAGGGGCCAGGATTCTTGGCTGGGTGGTTGCTATCAATATTTACTGTTCACCCTTGACACCTTTCTTTTATTCACACCTACGACCTGCCCAGAGGAAAATCCTGCCGTCTTTACCTTCGAAATATGTCCAGAAATCGTATCAGTTCTCACCATCTTCCCCTTTACTACCCTGGTTTGAGCTTCAGTCATCTGCTAGCTGTTGCAGTCGGCTCTCAACTGAGCTCTCTCCTGCAGTCTGTGTCAACATAGCTAGGTTTTTGCAACAAAAGTCAAATGTTGTCATTTCTCAGTTTCAAAACTTCCATCTCATTTAGAATTCTAAAGGCCCTCGAATTGGAAATGAGGTCTCACGTGATCCTCTTCTCCCTATATCTAATTTAAGCATGCCCTGGCTTAAGGGCTTTTGGATTTGTCATATTGTGTGTGGTAGGAATATAGCAGGCCTCGAGTTGAATAAAGTGTAATTAGCCTAAAGTGGTTATCATTTAATGATGCATTCTTTAAACTTCAATTATTGGATTATTTGCAACAGTTATTCTGTTGAAATGCTGTACTTTTTTCAAGTACTTTTAGAATCTAAATTATGAAAAATGATTTAACTTAAATTTGCAATTTGCTTTATTTAGACTGAGGGTTTCTCAACCTCAGCACTATTGACATTTTGAATGGGATAATTCTTTGTTATGGGGGGAGGGACGATGTCCTGTGCATTGCAGTATGTTTGGCAGCATCCTTCATCTCTGCCTACTAAATGTCTGTAGCGTCTAGATGTTTGTAGTTCATGTAAACTTGGTGTAAATTTCAGAACCAGCTGGCCTACTTTAGGAGGAGATGATATGTTTAGATACAGTTTGCTTCTCTAGGTAGGCAGCAATAGAAAAATGGATCAACTCAAGTGATCTTTCCTCAGTTACTTGTTTCTTAGTTTCCTCTTCTGTGAAACAGTGACACTGCCTGTCTTAAAAATATTTACTGTGTATTGGCCTGGCGCGATGGCTCAAGCTTGTCATCCCAGCACTTTGGGAGGCTGAGGCGGGCAGATCATGAAGACAGGAGATCGAGACCACGGTGAAACTCCGTCTCTACTAAAAATACAAAAAAATTAGCCGGGCGCCATGGCGAGCTCCTGTAGTCCCAGCTACTGGGAGAGGCTGAGGCAGAAGAATGGCGTGAACCTGGGAGGCGGAGCTTGCGGTAAGCCGAGATGGCGCCGTTGCACTCTAGCCTGGGCGACAGAGCGAGACTCCGTCTCAAAAAAA